AAGCCAGCACAAAAAGGATGAAATCACCTAAAACCAGAATGCCTCTCCTTCTCCAAGGGATCACAACTCCTCACCAACAAGGGAACAAAACTGGATGGAGAATGAGTTTGACGAATTGACAGAAGCAGACTTCAGAAGGTGAGTAGTCACAAACTTCTCTGAGCTAAAGGAACATGTTCTAATCCAATGTAAAGAAACTAAGAACCTTAAAAAAGGTTAGATGAAATGCTAACTAGAATAAGCAGCTTAGAGAAGAACATAAACGACTTGATGAAGCCGAAAAACACAGCATGAGAACTTCACGAAGCATACACAAGTTTCAATAGCCAAATCGATCAAGCAGAAGAAAGGATATCAGAGATTGAAGATCAACTCAATGAAATAAAATGAGAAGGCAAGATTAGAGAAAAAAAGTGAAAAGAAATGAACAAAGCCTCCAAGAAATGTGGGATTATGTGAAAAGAACTAATCTATATTTGATCGGTGTACCGGAATGTGACAGAGAGAATAAATCCAAGCTGGAATATACTCTTCAGGATATTATCCAGGAGAACTTCCCCAACCTAGCAAGGCAGGCCAACATTCAAACCCAGGAAATACAGAGAACACCACAAAGATATTCCTCAAGAAGAGCAACGCCAAGGCACATAATATTCAGATTCACCAGGATTGAAATGAAGGAAAAAAATGCTTCATTTTCTCTCTGGACAGAACAAGACTCCATCTCAAAAAAACAAAACAAACAAGCAAAGAATTGAAAGAGGTATTCTAATGATTGCTTGTACAAGGACATTCAAAGCAGCACTGTTTAGAACAGCCAGAAGGAGGAAACAACCCAAATGTCCATCAACAGATCAATGGATAAACAAATGTGGTCTAGCACACAATGGAATAGTATTCAACCATGAAGAGATATGAGGTACTGATACAAAGCACATGAATCACAAAACATTATGCTAGAAGGCAGAGAAAGCATTTGACAAAATTTGCATCCTTTCATGACTAAAAAGAAACTTCTCAACAATTAGATACAAAAAGAATGTTCCTGAACACAATAAAGACCATATATGACAAGCCCACAGCTAACATCATTCTCAGTGATGAAAAGTTGAAGCTTTTTCTCTAAGATCAGGAATAAGACAAGGATGGCCACTCTTGCCACTTCTATTAAACAGAGGACTAGAAGTCCTAGCCAGAGCGATTAGGGAAGAAGAAGAAATGAAAAGCATCCAACTAGGAATGAGGTGAAATTGTCTCTGTTTGCTGATGACATGATCTTATATACATAAAATCCTTAAAGACTCCACCAGAAGACTGTTAGAACTCACAAGTAAGTTCAGTAAAGTTGCAGGATACAAAACCAACATACAAAAGTCAGTAGTGTTGGCTGGGTGCAGTGGCTGACACCTGTAATCCCAGCACTTTAGGAGGCTAAGGCGAGTGGATCATCCGAGGTTAGGAGTTCAAGACCAGCCTGGCCAACATAGTGAAACCCCATCTCTACTAAAAATACAAAAATTAGTTTGGTGGTGCACACCTATAATCCCAGCTACTCAGAAGGCTGAGGGAGGAGAATCGCTTGCACCCTGGAGGCGGAGGTTGCAGTGAGCTGAGATCACACCACTACACTCTAGCCTGAGCGAGACTCTGTCTCAAAAAAACAAAGTCAGTAAGGTTTATATACACTAACAATAAACTGTGAAAAATAAATTAAGAAAGGAATTCCATTTACAAAGCATAAAAAAAAACTTAGGAGTTTTTAACCAAGGAGTTAAAAGATCTGTATACTGAAAGCTATAAAACATTGATGAAAAAAATTGAAGCCAACACAAATAAATGGAATGATATCATGTGTTCATAGATTAGAAGAATTCATATTCTTAAAATCTACATACTACCCAAAGCAATCTGCAGATTCAATGCAATTTCTATGAAAATGCCAATGTCATTTTTCACAGAAATAGAAAAGACAATTTTAAAAATCATATGGAACCACAAAAGACCCACAAATAGCCAATAAAATCTTGAGAAAATAAAAAAACCTGGAGCCATAATACTACCTGATTTCAAAATATATTTCAAAACTATAGTAATCAAAACAGCATGTGTATTAGTCTGTTTTCACACTGTTATAAAGAACTTTCCTGAGACTGGGTAATTTATAAAGAAAAGAAGTTTAATGGACTCACACTTCCATATGGCGGGGGAAGCCTCAGGAAACTTACAATCATGGTGGAAGGGGAAGCAAGCACCTTCTTTACAAGGCGGCAGGAGAGTGAGAAGAGCGAAGGAGGAACTTCCAAACCTTTATAACCATCAAATCTCGTGAAAACTAACCCACTGTCACGAGAACCGCACAGGGAAAACCACCCCCATTATCCAAATATCTCCCTCCCTTGACAGACGTGAGGATTACAAATTGAGATGAGATTTGGGTGGGGACACAGAGCCAAACCATATCAGCATGATACTGCCATAAAAACAGGTAAATGTACCAGTGGGACAGGATAGAGGCCATAAATAAACCTACACGTTTACTGTCAATTGATTTTTGACAAAAGTACTAAGAACACACAATGGGGAAAGGAGAGTCCCTTCAATAAATGGTATTGGGAAAACTGGTATTTACATGCAGAAGAATGAAATTGGACTCTTCTCTCAGCCCATACACAAAAATCAATTCAAAATGGAGTGAAGACTTAAACATAAGACCTGAAATTGTAAAACTCCTAGAAGACAACATAAGAGAAATACTTCTTGACATTGGTTTCAGAAAGAATTTTTTTGGATGAGACACCAAAAGCACAGGCAACAAAAGCAAAAACAGACAAATGGGTCTATATCAAATTTAAAAGCTTCTGCACAGCAAAGAAAACAAGAGACAGAGGAGACAGCCCACAGACTTGGAGAAACTGTTTGCAAATCATACATCTTATAAGGGGCTAATATCCAAAATGTATGGGGAACTCACACAATTCACTAAGAGAAAAACAAATAACCTGATATAAACATAAGCAAAGGACCTGAATAGACACTTCTCAAAAGAAGACATACAGTAGGTCCTTGAATAACATCCTTTCATTGTAATATTGAGGAGGAAAAGAAAGTCATTCCTGGGGCCACTGTCGGTGGAGTTTGCATGTTCTGCCCATGTCCGTGTGCATTGCGGGTTTTCACCAGGTACACTGGAGTTCAAAGATCAGAAAAAACCAAAACACTGTGCTAAGTGAAAAGAGCCAGACACAAAAGGTTAATTGGCATGTCTTAATGGTCCCAGTGTGTGTGAGTGTGCGTTATCACTTAGTTTATAGTAAAATACTTAAAGTTACAGTTTCTAAGAAGCTATGAGGACTTACTGTACAAATGACCATAATATATATTTTTAAAATGATCAACCTCATTAATCATCAGGGAAATGCAAATTAAAACCACAGTGAGCTACCCCCTCACACTCGTTAGTATGGTTGGTATAGATAGAAGGTTGGCAAGGATGTGGAGAAAAGGGAATTCTTGTTCACTGTTGGTGCTAAAAAAACTTTAAGAGTTCCTTTTTGTGATTTTACACTATTTAACCCAGTGTCGGAACAGCAGCATACCATCTGAGCTCAAAATCTTGTATGATTTTAGTAAGGTCATTGTTTCTGGTTGGTTTTATACAATTCTCCAGAAAAATTAGGAAGAAAGAACCAACCTCATATACATTGCAGAAGATATCCCTGAGGCCTTATTGGTGCCACCCAAAGTTTTCAGCACTTCCAACATTTAGTTGTGAGCATCGGTTGCCTTCTCCCCGTCACTGCCTTTATCGATCTTGTTTAAAGCCGAATTCCTGCAACCCCCACTGACTGCTTTTTCCAATGTGTGCGTAATCTCCAACACCTCGTTGTGTCTTGCTTAGCCAAGTGACAATGACTTTATGCCTCCATATAGCTTGCCTCTGTTTTTCTACCTGCAAGCTCTTATCACTAGTAAGTTAATAATTCAATAAAACCCTGCCCTTTTTTTCTGTTCAAAATAGAAAGAATTATTGGAAATTGAAATAAATGTACTATCGGAGTCCACAGGCTCTTGATATAGGGTGATGTTCAAGAATCACGGTGTTTGGAAAGCACCCAGCTCAACTTTGGGGGATGTGCTTTCTAGAAGTTTGTTATGGAGGGCAGATATGCGGTGAAGCCAATATAGCAGATGTTAACTGTGCAGTCCAGGTGGGGGTGTGCAGGCGTTCACTGGACAATTCTTCAACTTGTCTCTGAAAATTTTTATAATGAAATGTTGGGAAAATCTCTACGATTTTATAGATATGTACAGCATATGATTCTCCACTTCAAACAACTTGATTCTTTCTGAGCCATGTCTTTTTATATATATCAATAAAATTGGACTTGACTGTGAATTTATTCTAAGGTTTTAAAATCCCATTTATTGGGAATTACAACCAAGAAAACCATCTAGGACCTTCCAAGTAAAAAAGTTTAATCCTTTTTTTTTTAAACAAGTATGATCTACAGATGATTTTTATTTGAAAATGAAGGGCTTGAAATGACTAACCTGGATGACTCTTGAGGACATCCTGTGTGACATATTGATACAAGCCAGTCACAAAACGACAAATACTACACGGTTCCACTCATATGAGGGGCCTGCATAGTCACATTCATAGAGACAGAGGTGCTTTCCAGGGTCTGGCGGACGGGAGGCTGGGGAGCTGGTGTTTCAGCTAAGGAAGAAGAAAACGTCCTGGATGGACTGTGGCGAGGCTCACACAGCAGTGTGAAGGTACTTCATGCCACCAAACTGTACACCTAAAAATTATTAAAATAAGACATTTTATGTTATAGGTGCTTTGCCACAATTAAAAATCAGTTTTCAAAAGCTGGAAAATAATTGACCACCCTTGCAGAGCTGACTACTACCGTTTTCACTTTTACGAAACTTCCTGTTATAACTATGTAGAATCCGATTAATTTCTGTATCTGGCCTCTTACTGTGTTTTACAGCAGGAAGACCTTCCTTCCATAGAGCAGTTAGCGCATCAGATGGAAGATGAGGAAATAAACCCTGCTGAGAAGCCCAGGCAATGCCTCAAAAGAGTTTTCGAGGACTCCATCTACAAAACCCTGGTGGAGAGAAGCACTCTTGACTACCTACGCTATAATCGCTACCTCCTGCCCATGTACGCATGGCCGGGCATCATTTAGTTGTAGGCAGGGTGTCCCCTTTATGGTTGTCATGTATGTAGTTCCTGGAAGCGCGCTCTGTAGAAATAGAAAAGTTCTCTGCAGCCTGGTCGGACAGCGAAGCAGTCCCTGGTGGCTCTGTGTCTTCCTTTCCTTCCCCAACTTATGCCTGTACTTTTCTGTCATTCCAGTAGGTGGCGCACGGTCGTGTGCCTCTGTTCGGGGGCAGGCTCGCTCTGCAAATACCAGGCATGTTCCTGTGCAGAATAATCCATTTCAGCAATAAAATGAGATCATACTGTGTAAAATTTGTTTTTACCTTGGGTGTGATTCTGTTTGATTTCCTGGAAACTTCTGCTGCCAGTCTTGTTAGTTCTTCACATGTTTACCCAGGAATACTTACAGGAGATAAAAAAGAAAATGTGCCCAGAATGGAAAGTTAGCAAACAGATGATGAGAAATGAACCCTATAGTCCAACATCAGAAACGGGGATTGTGTAGGAAAGCTTACATGGCCTTTGGAAGGGAGGAAGCTGTATTTCTGTTTCAAATTGCAGATGAGGAGCATAAAGTCACAGAAAAGTTGGATGATCAAGGGGTTCACACACAGATTTTCGACTAGAACGTGGTAGTGGGAGGTTCATCTAGTTCATTTTCTTTGACCCTTAGCACTGTTGCTTTGCGTTGGGGGTGGGGTGAGGGGGTCCCTAGCACATGTCACATATAATATGGATCAGAAACCCTTTTTCTTATAAATAAAGCAAATTAATTGCCCACTAGAAACTGCATGAATTCAGGGATGAGTGGGAACAAACACTTAAGAGTGTTCTCATTTATTGGGTCTCTCTTAGTAGATAATATAACACAATTTTTCACCAGCAGAGTTTAAAACTGGTTTTCGTGAACAATCCAGATTTTGTTCATGTGTTGTATTTTATGTAAATGTTGAGCAAAAGTTGGCACAAGGTAAAGGATACACAGCTATTAGAAGGAAAGTCAGAGCTGGCATTGCAGAACTGTGTACACATTTATCAAACTCTCTGCTGCAAACTGCTAACTTGTTGGAACTACAAAGTTATTTGATATTTCTGCAAAATAAAATTGTTCCAGAACACTGGACTCTTGACTTTCCCAAGGCAGGCAAAAGCAAGCAATAAATGCTCCTAATTCCTTCACATGTGCATTTTCCACAAATGCATGGGTCATTTGGGGGGGCGGGGAAGGATCCAGCATTGGCCATATGGTACACACTGTGTCACTTGAAAGGGGAACAATCACTCCTGGTCCACTCTTCAGAATTCAGACCCAGCACAGGTGGAACCATATTTCAGGGGCTGGTGAATGAGTTGGCTCAAACAATTCTCCTCCCTGTCCCCTTCCCCTGACAGGACCTGGGTCAAACTCATCAGCAAATGGAGTAAGTTTCTGTGACAGGTCCTTGGACCCTTGGATGGAGATTAACAGAACAACCTCAGAGGATCAACAGTTATGACTTCTGTGACCAAGTATTAGCATTAAAAAGCCTTTAGTCACATAAAATAACCCCAAATGACAATGTCAACCTTAATACCAAATCATGCATAAATGTGACGATAAGTTTCCATTTGCTGCCTTTTGAGGAGTCTTGCAGCTCCACAAGTATCACAGCAGACTTGAAAATATCTAGAATATATTTTAGTCTACAAAGTGTACTGAGTGACATTAACTTAATCCTTATCTCACACTTAGAAAGTGGGTAATTTATAGGCTATTTAGCATATATGCTAAATAATTTCCTGAATCTAAGAACCTTAGCACATCTGTTCAGATTTGAAAGCTTTATCACTGAACAAGTTTCCTAAGAATAAAAGAGGAATTCAAGAGTTGTTGGTCATAACTTGCAATTGACTATTGTAAGGGCTTTGGGAAAATAAAGCTTGGCAAAAGGAAGGGCCTGAAAGAGACCAATATTTGGACTTGGGTTGTACAAGGCATGAATTCTGTAAGTGGAATGAATGCTTGGCGTTTCTACACATTTCAGCACTTGCTGCTGAGCTGGGGACAGTTTTAAGCAAAGAATATTAATGAGAAAATACCAAAGTTAATTTTCCAAAGTTTTATTCTTTCAAATCACATTCAATGACCCTGCCTCTGATGCCCGCAATTGCTCTCCTGACAGATGTCAGTTTTTAAACCGCCTTTCCAAAAATGGCTTCTTATGGTTTTATTAGACTGAAATATTACTGGAGGGCAAGAGAAAAATCAACGATGAAGTGAGGGAGGGAAGGAAATATGGCATGGAGCATAAAATGTAAAGCCAGCCAATTAATATTTGCCCTTACAAGAGGAGAAGGAGGAGAGAGGGAGGGAGAGGGAGAGGGAGAGAGAGAGAGAGAGGGAGAGAGAGGAAAAAGAGAAAGAGAGAGAGAGAGGGTGCGCACCCGAGTGAGCGAGTGTTAGCCAAGAAGCAGGGAGCAGGGCTCGAAAGTCGCCGAGTGCGAGGAGCTGTTGATTGTTTTCTGGTTGAGAGAAGAAGCGATGATAAGGCTGGGATAAAGTGAGCGGCGGCAGGGGCGCAGGGCCCGGCAGCTGTATGCTAATGCTCACAGAAACCAAGCCTCCGCGTCCCCCCATTAAAGCAGGCGACCAGGAGGCCACACATCACTGAACAAATAGGCTCTCTCTAGACAAATAAAGTAACACACGTTTGCCTGTGGGGAGTGGGGGGAGAGTAAGAGCAGGGAGAAGAGTGAGGGGGCTGTGAAGGAGGGGGGAGAGAGAGAAGGTAAGAGAGTAGAAGAGAGGAATGGAAGACTGGGAAAGAGGTGGGGGGAAGAGATGGAGAGAGGATGGAAACCGAAGCGAGGGAAGGGACAGGAGAGAGGGCCGGGAGGAGAGAGGGGAGCAGGAAGACAGCAAAGAGGACTGGGGGATGGGACGGGGAGGGAGGGACAGTGGAGAGAAGCGGCTGGGAGAGAGGAAGGGGGCCAGTTGGTGGGGGGGAGACAAGTGGGAGGGTTAAGGTGTGAAAGGTAGGGAGAGAGAAGAAGGATGAGGGAAAGGTGAGACTGTTGGAAGAAAGGAGGGGAAAGAAAAGAAGGGAAGAGCCCGAAGGAGAGAGAGGGACAGGAGGAGAGAGAGGAGGCGAAAGACGCCGGGAGGGAACCGGAGGGCGAGGGAGAAGGGCAGGGACGGGAGGAGAAAGGAGGAGGGGAGAGGAACGGCGGTGGTTGGAGAGAAGCACCCGCTAACCCCATAGCCGGAACCCACGCCGAGGTAGCAAGTGCGCCCTTGCGGCCCCCACGAGCCTGGCTGCATCTCCGTCCTCCTGCGGCAGGCGAGGCGGGGTGCAGGTGTGAGTGGCATGAGAAGATGGGGAAAGGATCGGGGTCGCGGCGGCCTTTCTGGCCAGTTTTGAAGGGTTTTGTCAGTTAACGTTTCTAGACCGAGGCGCACGGACCAGCGGCACCTCCCAGGTGGAGGAGACCCCTTGTGCCCCAAGTTCAAAGTCATCCTGATGGGTTCAGTGCGGTCCTGACTCTTCCTGACCTAATTCTCTGGTTGTGACTTTCTCACGTTCCGGGCTTCGCCACTGCCAGCTTCTGCCAACACCACCCTTCCCGCCGCCCACCCGGGTCTTCCTGCCCGTTCTCCTCCCTCCCCGGCCCGACGGTCCCGCCGAGGCAAAAACAAACAGCCATGAGGGCACTTCAAGGAGCGTGCAGTGGCCCCGACGGCACTCTCGGGGGGAGGGGGGATAAAAGAGGCGGCCAGTCCGCCCCCGGCCGAATAATGGGCGCGCAGCAGATTGCCAGGGGGCACTTGAAACTCGAAGGGAGGGAAATACTTGAGCGCGGTCCCTCCCCGCGAGGGCGCTCGGCGCAGCCTCGCGGATCGTCCCTTGTTCGCTCTCTTTCATGCACTCTCCTTTTGTGTGGAATTATTTAAACGGGAGATCCCTGGCAGCTTTATGCTAATGCGCCGAACAAAGGCAACGGCCCGCGGGCGGGAGGCCCGGAAGGTGCCTGGGGCCGGGCCGGGTGGGGCGGCGGGCAGGCGGGCTGCGCGTGTCTCTCGCGTGCCCCTGGGACTGACACAACCACCCCTCATTCCTGCAAATACAAAGCCTCTTCCCTGCTCGGGTCGGGCGCTCGGAGGCTCGGGTCCCTCCGGGACGGGGCGGCGGGCTCTGCGGCGGCAACGCAGGGTTCCTGCCGGGTTGTGGCTCCGGGACTGAGTGCCGGGAGTGGCGGCTTCGGTGAAGCCAGAAGAGCGGTCTGCAGCTAAGTGGGAATGGTGGGGGCTGCTGACAACTCCCCCCACTACCAACGTTGGCGTCTCCAAAGTCGCTACCTGCTGTGGGGCGAGAATGCGGGCCCGCCTGGTTCCTCCCGTGAGGCCAGGGCCGCCAGTTCTCCTAGACACCCCAAGGAGCCAACTACTCCGCAGAAGTTGCCCCGCTTCTACTTTTAGTTCCAAGCTTCGCGCTTTCTACAAACTCCCTGTTGCCTTGACTTTGATTTCCAGCCGAGGTGAAGGTCACAGTGAACTCTGGCGCACGACCCGACGGCACCCCGGCACACCAGGATTGTAGAAATTGGAGCGCCTGCGGCCTCCGGCTCCGCAGTCGTCAAAGGAAGAACCCACCGCGGAGTCGGCGGACAAGAAGTGAAGAGGCCCGGGATTTTTCCAAAGGGCTGGCCAGGACACCGCAGGAAGGGGAGGAGTCGCCTGAAGCTGGGGAAGGACACTTGGGTGCCTCTGCCTTGGATCTTTATGCTCATTGACTTTCGCAAAGCCCCTCTGGAGGGGGACAAATCCACGATCAGTGTTTCCCCAAACTTAACTTCACGCGGCCGCTTCTCCGAATCTCGTGTGCTAAGGCCGGCGTCGGGGGCGCAGTTCGGTGGCTGTTTGTCCTTCCCAGGCAAAGAGAATTATCTCGACCCGATGTCCCCATCCTTGCGGGCGCACAAATTCTGAAAAAATCAGCAGAAGGCGGCTGCTATCCACGGCCCGGGCTGTGCTACACCTGCTTGGAGGTCGCTGGTGTGTGCGTGCGCGCGAGCGCAGCCCAATTCTTTCCCAGCCCCGGGTGATGAAATTAGTTTCCAATACTAGTATTTTTCAGGTGTCTATTTATTTTTACTGTACCCGTCTGAAAGCAGATTTCATTTCGGCTGGCAAGACTAGAAGCCACAAATAAAAAGACACGGATTCATTGAATCTCTGTATCTCAGTAGCGTTCAATAGTTTCCCTTGGCTAAATTCAGAGCCCTGTTTGAATTCACTCAGGCAGGTGGTGTTTTGTTTTGTTGCTGGTAGTGGTCCCCCACCCCCATGGTTTATTTACAATTGTGGGTGTTGTTATTTTTAAAGGATTCACAAGGTGACTAACTCTGTTATCTGTTGAATGGACGGAGTGTTACATATGCAAGACCGAATATGGCCGGCCGAGCCCCTGCCCTATATTATTCTACAATCCAGATGGGATTCGTGATTAGAAAATAAAATTGGCTAAAGCTGTCTCGGAATCCCTTTCCCACTTCTAATTTCATCAGCAATATTAATCAGCGCTCCAGAACAAGGAAATAACATCAGTTACTTTTAGATAGAAATGTATTTATAAATTTTAGATAACTCATTTTAAGATTCCTAACTTTGGGGGGGAGGGAACTACCATTCACCACAGCATTTTGAAAACTAGGGTGAGACTTTTCAAAATATATTTCATTATATGCATTCTTCTCTTTTCAGTGTGTAGGTTAAAATATTACAAACATAAAATTATCAAATACCTTTCCCTTGATTACCCAACTTGATTAACCCCTTAAGCCTAACAACTGTCCCCATCACAACTTATGACTCATGTGGACTCTATTTTTACATGTTTAATTTCTACGCCAGGGTATTTTCAGAGGGAAAATCCAAAACAATTAAATACCTTCAGTGGAATATAGCGAAAGTAAAACTCAGCAAAATCTATCTGGTGTACAGAGCTTTGCAGAAAAATGTTTCCTTCTCTTTCAATAAAATGACATTTTCCTCAAAGCATATGACATTTTATGTGGCTTGGCCATTTGTTCCCCAGTGATGGACGATCAGGGCCACTATGCACTTCGTGGGGTTCTGCCCTGTCCCCGGGAGGTTCTGCCTTTTGTGCTTCCTCGGGTCTGGGCTGGACAGAGTACGGAGGCCGGCGGCCAGTCTGGGTCCAAACGTAACGGTGGCGGGGGTGAGGGTGGGAGGTGTCTTCGCTGTTGTGTTTTCCTGGTGGCACAGGGGAGGCGGCATGTCCTCGCCGAGGCTGCAGCCTGCCTCAGAGGACAGATTGCCCCCCCTCCCCCAGTCCAGCACGCGTCTCTTTTGCGTCCAGATTGGCCGCGACCGGCGCTCAATAGCGGGAGGTTAATTTCCTTCACAAAGGTGAAGGGGGCACGGCTCCGGGGGGTCTGCGCCCAGACAGGCGGCCCCTTTATTCCGAAGCGCCTTGATTGGAGCCCTTGATTTAGCATCTGATGTCAACCGGCAAACAAAATGCCCGCTCGGAATGAAAATGCATGAGGCTGCGCGGGGAGGAGAAAACCAACTTCACTGGGGTGCACGAGGCCGATGCGCGTTTCGGGCTTTGGCCAACTCGACCCGGGTTACCCAGCCCCAAACCACGCGGAGGCTCCGGGAGGCCTGGGCCGGGCCCCACCAAAGATACCATTCCCAAGCCTCCAAGAACCCAAAAGTTTAGAAATTGACGTTCCTTTGGGAGCCCAGCCCAGCACGCCCCCGCTTCAGCCCCGCGCTTTCTGGAGACTGAGAAGGTCACGCCAATTCCTTCTCAAACTCCAAAGAAACCTCGAGCCCCGTAGTCACGCCGAGGCTGCAAGCACAAACATCGCCCGCTCTCGGCCACTGCCATAAGTCCGGGCCCCCTGTCCACACTCGGAACCCCTCTTGGGTCCCGCGGCCTATCCGTCCGAGGTACCGGCGGAGGCTCTTGGCCGCCGGGACTCTGCGGCTTTCTCGGATTCTTGTTTATTTCCCAAACACCACGCGGAGCCAATGCGCCTCCGCCGACGCCCCGATCTCCCCGCGCCACCCCGGCGCGCCCCCGCCCCCACCCAATCAGCGCGCACAACTTCCCCCTCGGCTCTGGCTCGCGGATTGAACCCTCCTGACATATTTGGGGCCATTCTTCTCCTTTGTTGCTATTTTGCTCGCGACCCGCGGGTAATCCCTGTGCGGGAGGGGGGCGTGCATTGTCGCGCTGATGGACGGGCCCATTTGGCGGCTCCGCGCCCCCCGGAGGAGAGACACAAAGCCCAGGCACGTGCGCCTCCCCATAGAGGAGCAGCAGACCGTGAAAGGAGGCGGGGCCGGGCGTGTGCCTGGGCCGGGCGGGGCCGCGGCGCCGGGCGGGGCAGCCGAGGGGCGCGCGCGGGGGCCCCGCGCCCTCAGGTACATCTGCTGCACCTACCGGGCGACCCCCGAGTCCAGGCCCTCTTTTGGCCGCCCCATCGCCCTCCCACCCTGCCAGGCCGAGGAGCTGTAGGCGCTCTGATTGGCTCGGGGGGAAGCGGGAGGCGAGAACAATGGCCCCCTCCCCCCGTTAAAAGGGAGCGGCTGCCCGGCCCGGGGACAGGGACGCGCGTGCAGGGCGCAGAGCTGGACCGAGCCGCCGCCGGCGCCACGCGAGTCCCGCAGCCGCCGCGCCCGGGCCATGGGCCGAGGGCACTGAGGGCCGCCGGGGCCGAGCGCCGAGGGGGGACCGAACGAGTGCCGTGCCCTCGGGCCGCGCCAACATGCCCCGCGGCTTCCTGGTGAAGCGCAGCAAGAAGTCCACGCCCGTGTCCTACCGGGTCCGCGGCGGCGAGGACGGCGACCGTGCGCTGCTGCTCTCGCCCGGCTGTGGGGGCGCCCGCGCCGAGCCCCCGGCGCCGAACTCGGGCCCAGGGCCGCTGCAGCCGCCTCCACCGCCGCCGCCCGCGGAGCGCGCCCATGCAGCGCTCGCTGCCGCGCTCGCCTGCGCGCCGGGGCCGCCACCACCCCCGCCGGGTCCACGGGCGGCGCACTTCGGCAATCCAGAGGCCGCGCACCCTGCGCCGCTCTACAGCCCCACGCGGCCCGTGAGCCGCGAGCACGAGAAGCACAAATACTTCGAGCGCAGCTTCAACCTGGGCTCGCCGGTCTCGGCTGAGTCCTTCCCCACGCCCGCAGCGCTGCTCGGAGGGGGCGGCGGCGGCGGCGCAGGCGGAGCGGGCGGCGGCGGCACCTGCGGCGGCGATGCGTTACTCTTTGCGCCCGCCGAGCTCAAGATGGGCACGGCGTTCTCGGCGGGCGCCGAGGCGGCCCGCGGTCCAGGCCCCGGTCCCCCACTGCCTCCCGCCGCCGCCCTGCGGCCCCCTGGCAAGCGGCCCCCACCCACTGCCGCCGCCGCCGCCGCTACCGCCGAGCCGCCAGCCAAGGCAGCCAAGGCCCCTGGCGCCAAGAAGCCCAAGGCCATCCGCAAGCTGCACTTCGAGGACGAGGTGACCACGTCGCCTGTGTTGGGGCTCAAGATCAAGGAGGGCCCGGTGGAGGCGCCGCGGGGCCGTGCGGGGGCCGCAGCGCGGCCGCTGGGCGAGTTCATCTGCCAGCTGTGCAAGGAGGAGTACGCCGACCCGTTCGCGCTGGCGCAGCACAAGTGCTCGCGTATCGTGCGCGTGGAGTACCGCTGCCCCGAGTGCGCCAAGGTCTTCAGCTGCCCGGCCAACCTGGCCTCGCACCGCCGCTGGCACAAACCGCGGCCCGCGCCCGCCGCCGCCCGCGCGCCGGAGCCGGAAGCTGCAGCCAGGGCTGAGGCGCGGGAGGCGCCGGGCGGCGGCAGCGACCGGGACACGCCAAGCCCCGGCGGCGTATCCGAGTCGGGCTCTGAGGACGGGCTCTACGAGTGTCACCACTGCGCCAAGAAGTTCCGCCGCCAGGCCTACCTACGCAAGCACCTGCTGGCGCATCACCAGGCGCTGCAGGCCAAGGGTGCGCCTCCAGCGCCCGCGGCCGAGGACCTACTGGCCTTGTACCCCGGCCCCGACGAGAAGGCGCCCCAGGAGGCGGCCGGCGAAGGCGAGGCAGCCGGCGTGCTGGGCCTGAGTGCGTCCGCCGAGTGCCACCTATGCCCTGTGTGCGGGGAGTCGTTCCCCAGCAAGGGCGCCCAGGAGCGCCACCTGCGCCTGCTACACGCCGCCCAGGTGTTTCCCTGCAAGTACTGCCCGGCCACCTTCTACAGCTCGCCCGGCCTTACGCGGCACATCAACAAGTGCCACCCATCCGAGAACAGACAGGTGATCCTCCTGCAGGTGCCCGTGCGCCCGGCCTGTTAGAGCGCGCCCTCCACCCCGGCCCCCGGAACTGTGCCTTCGCTTGGAGACCCACAAAGAGAATGCGCCCTGCACGCCCGAACCCCAGTCTGCGCTGGGGGAGCCTCGTCCCCGCCCCCACCGGGTGAAAGTGTCGTCTCCGTTTCTCGGTGTGGCGTGACGGTAACCCCATCCTCTCGTTGTGACTCCTTTTGGAACCCCCGCTTTTACGTTGTGTACCCCCAAACCCCCATGGCGCAACAGGAGTCAGTCTCTTTATGTACAAGGGAGAAGAGCTGTACGCGTTTGTCTCGTGGTTGGAAGCCTCCCCTTGGCGGGGAGAAGCTGTTTTTCTTGCTAGTATTCGCTGTGTTCATGGTCTAGAAATGCGCTCTACTCTCGCCTCGCCTACCAATCTCTGCTCTCTATGTATGTAGCGTACGGGTTGTTTTGAGTGAATCTTGAGGAATAAATGCCTTTATATTTCACAGGCTGTAAATTGAACTTCCCACACGATTAGCTTTATTATGGCTTGTGAACTGCTGGAGTCTGGCTTTACCTTTTTGTATGTGAACAAATCAAATTGCTTAAAAAAAGAGTTTTCTTTAGTATAGCCACAAATGCCTTGAACTGTTGTTGGGATTGTTTTCGGGGGGAGGGAAGGGAGTGTCCTGAAGATGCTGTAGTAACTGCCTCAGTGTTTCACGTAAGACTTTTTGGTTTGATCATCTTTGTTGAGGTAGGACTATCAGTTCCCTCTAAATGTATATGTTGATTTATGAGTAATTGTTATTTATTCTTTATTTATTTATATTAATTATGAAGATTATGATATTATTTGATTGCAGATTTTTTTGATGCGCTTCCCTCTCCCCACCCTGCCACTCTTGACATTCCACTGTGCGTTTTAGAAGAGAGCCTTTTTCTAAAGGGATCTGCTTAAAGTTTTAACTTTTATATCTCTGAGTGAATTACAGACAACCTACCATTTAATTCTGCTTCGAGGGTCCCCAGGGCCCTTGTACAACCGACAGCTCTTACTTTTCAATGCAATCTCTTTTCTACATACATTATTTTCGTAATTGTTAGCTATTTATAGAAAGCTTCAATAGAACTGTTTCAACTGTATAACTATTTACTATTCAAATAAAATATTTTCAAAGTCAAAGTGTGGTGGCCTGATTTCTGCATCACATGCTTTCAGGACGAATTTAAAGTAGTGTTTCTGATGATTCCTTAGAAGCTAATTTTATTTTTTATCAGGAAAAAGGGAACCACCACCATCACCAGGGTGGTGGGTTTTCAGAGGTGAGCCGCAGCTGCAGGACTCTGCCCTTCCGGCAGCCTGAGAGTGTAGCCTCCAGCGCGGCTGGCCGAAGCAAGCCTTGTTGGGGTCCTCAGTAATGTATCAGGAGGCGGGCTAGAATGAAGGCCCTGGGCATCTTTTCCGATAAATCTACATCAAAGAAGCTGTTCTTTTCGCTCCACTTTCATTTAGCAAATCCTTCATTTCCCAACAATTTGGGGCTTAGGGTGACAGTAATTCTTCAGATAAATAAAGTGGGTAGTATTTGTTCCTTAGCATCTACAAGAAAGGAGAAATGACTTTACCGTGAGATCTGCAAAGTACCAGCGGCAAACTGATTCACATTTGGATGCAATGGGAAGTTAAGCAACTGGGGGTAAGGGCTTAGAAATAATTTTCCAATCAGGTGAGCAGTCTGTTTGGGGGCAAAATGGAACACCATCTGTTTGGGGTATTAAATTTAATAACAGGTAATTACAATGTTTTCCGTTATGTGTCACTCAGCTCTTTGAAGAACAATTCTGACTCTCACCAGTGAATATTTTGGGTTGTTTTCCTCTGTCTTGGAAACATTTGATGAAAGAGCTGTGTTAAACCTCACAATTGTGCGTGCATGTTCCTTTTGTGTGTTTTTCCTGCTTTTTTTTTTTCCCTGAGGCCCACTATATCTAACGTTTGTCTGCCAAAAAGATTTTAGAAATCTGCACAGTAAAGGGATTTGCATCTCCAAAGAGGAGCTGGAATGAGGCTGCGAAGGGCAGTCCTTGAGGAACTTGGAAGGACACACTGAGGAAAGAGATCATTTTCAGATTGTGAGCCTCAAGTTTTCTGTGCGATGGGGTTTAGCCAAAGGCTCAGTTAGCAGGAATATGGAATATTCCTCCCTCTGTGAGGCTCTGGAAACAGCCTTTGAATAACAATGAAGGAGAAACCACTACAGGTAAGTTGCCTCCAGGACAAATTGCGGGTTGCTTTTTATCACTGATGACTACGTATTTTCCCAGTTTGGAAAATAAAAGAACAAAAAGCTCAGGGCTGGTGCAACGTGAAAGCACAGGGATAGAGCAGCATTTATAACATCCTGAAAACTTTGAATGAAACAAAGAAAAACTCAAATGTGTGGGCTGATAGCTGCCGCCTCTCCCCTCCTGCAACAGTAATATGGGAACACTGAAAATATTCTGAGTTACAGCACACACTAAAAGACACCCCAAACTGAGGGTCCGCGTATGCACATTCTGTGGCAATAGAAGTTTCCTGAAAAGCTGGAAGATTGGCCGCACATGGCGAGTCCAGACTTGGCTGCAGAAATGGTGGCTTGTACCTACGTTGGGCTCACTGTGGTTCTCGACCATAATCACAAAACATAAATTCCTCTAAGATCCACTTCACGAGGGTAAATATAATTTGGTTGTTCACAAACATGTTCCTTCGTCACTCGTGGAAATTTACTGCAATGGACCAAATATACCTTTTCTCAAATGGAACCCAAAGTTTCACTGATGTGAGATATAGAAGGAAACGGTAGAGTAAATGGAGTATGTTGAAGGTGATGAAACTGTGTAAAAATAGAAAACCTTGGTCAATTTCTATCCTAGTAATACAGTATGAGTTAGCAGAATATTCTGTGCGAGGGAATCAGGCTCTCCCCCGTTTTTCTTGCCCCCCTGGATAATAAGTTCACAAGGTTCCTATCCCAGAACATCACGTCAAAGCGCACACACTTTTTACCAAATCTGTGAAGGAGGCTGTGGGCATCCTGTGTGCTCTGGGGACGCTGCAAACTGGGAAGGCCATCCGTGGAAACCACCCGAGAATCCCACACCATCCCACAGCAAGGATTTGGGGGTGAGAAGCCCAGGGGGTCAGAAAAAGTAACAAAGTTAAGGAGGGAGGAGCTAAAAGAGGGAAGCAAACGGAAGAGGTTTGATTTTTGCCAGTGCCTTCACCCCTCTCTACTTCCATACAAACGTGCTACAGTGAAAAGCAAAAGGCTGTTCAGCATTCCTTTGGTTCCAGAGTGAGCCTGTGGCTACAGCAGCTGCACGCCACGCTGGTTGAGCCCTTCCTTCAGAGTTTTTAATGTCCTCTCAAGGCAGCTTCTCCTGTTGCCTGCTTTGCCTTTTCCCTGGAGGCCTGGAAACGATGGGGTTCTTGCCGCCCTTAGAGCAGGAACGTTGTGCTGGCGAGGGTTTGACCTGAGTGACTCACTCGGAGGCTTGTGCTTGGAGGCACGCCTTCCTTCTGTGTAGCACAGTGGACGAAGTGATCGCACCTTTCAGCCCCTCTGAAGCCTGTCTCTGGGTTCCATCTGGGAGTACCCAGATCTCGCAGAGCAGAAATGAAGCCAGGAGGCTGGCTGGACTCCAGCTGCACAAGGGCACCTGTGGGCATGTTAGGGTCCTGCAGAGACGTGGGTATGCAACATCAGCCAGGGCAGCACTAGCCACAGGTGGATGTGCCTGGCGTGTTGCTGCCCACATGCTGCTGAGGAGGGGGCGACATTTCTTATCGGCTTCACTTTCCTCTGTGAGTGGCCGCCTCCTCCCCCAGTTGGGCTGAACTCCACAGCCATCCACAGAGTCTTCAGAACAAAGCAGAAGTGTCTCCCAACCACGCTGAGTGACCCGATAACACTACAGGAATTCTTCACGTATCAAATGTCTTGCAAAAGAGAAAAGGGCCTCGAACAAGGTTTGGCTTTCTGAAGTTGAGTCACTTGGCTTCCAGAAGGCCTCGGTCTCCTCATCAGTAAGCCACAGATAATGCTCCTGGCTGATGCCCTGAGGGCATCTGGAGCCTTTGTGGAACATCTGGGGAGATTCCTGAGCCCAGCTGAGGATGGGCAGTAAGGAGCTCAGAGGGGCCTGCATTCTTCACATAGACATGGGCACTCCTCGGGCACTCCTCTTTGCCGAGTGCTGTTCCATGGCATTAGGATCGGTTACAAACCCACTGGCCTGTGGCAGGGTTACTTTGAGCAAAACTTGCTATTTTTTTGCAGAACGGACATTTAGGTCTTGCAGAGAAATTTTCTGGCAAACAGACCCAGGGCTAAGTCTATGGGATCATATATGGGATAAGATGAGTCGCCCACTTAGCTTGTTACAGAGCCAGGATTAGTTATGGTTCTTTGATGGACAGACTAAAGGAAGCTGTAATACTCTAGTAGTTAAAGTTAGAAGTAATGGAATTTAGAGATTGAAGAGGAAACTGAGTTGTAGAGAGAAACCCACAGGTGGTAAAACACACCCGTGTGGGAACCAACTGAATAGCAACATGCAGGGATCTTGCTTCCATTTGATCTTCAGGGAGGTACCGAAGCAGGGAGCACAAAGCAGTGACCTAAAGACACAGGTTCTCATCGTCAATGATGGCAACATCTCATGGGTCTTTTGGCAACACAACCCGAATCTAATAGTCCCCAAATCTCACCCAGGCAAGAAAGAGAGCAGCGAAAGGCATCTTCAAGTTCCATCCCATCATAACCATTGGAGAGACGTCATTTCTCTGTTACCCACCTGCAGTATTAAATGACCAGTACTCACAGGGAAAGTCTGGTGCACTCATGACTCCTGGGTTCTAATATGGCAAGTGTCACTAGCAGGTACATCAGGAACACAAAGACAAGTTCAGCAGTGGGAGCTGGCTCTATAACTTAAAGAGACCTGGTCACAAGCCCCACAGGAGCCCGGTGACCCTAGAATAAAGAGCTCTTCACAAATATGCAGAGCCAAAGGGCCACCCTCTGATGGGCTGCAGCCTAGAGTTCCTCGTGTCCCCTTGCACCTTCATCAGCTGAGGTTTCCAAGTGAGGCCAGGTATGTTGACTCCTCAGGAATAAGGCACCAGAGATGGATGGTACCTACTTGCCTAATGATCTTGATGAATAGGGAAATCTTTTTTTCTCCTCCCGGGAGAACTGGGGAACTACAGCCTTCTTCTGACACTGCTAAGGAAACAGATCAATACTTTTCAACACCCCCTCACCTTTTATAAACAACCAGCTACAGGTTTTGATGTCATCAGGGAAACTAACCAGGCAAGAGGATTTTCTGAAGATGACCTAGTCCTGCTCCTTTGGACATATTCCTCAAGAGGACCTGCAGGAGGAAATTAACACAGGCCAGATTGGGTTTCGAAAGCCACAGAGCCGGATAAGAGGTGGCATCCCAGCAAGCCATGTGCGATGGACCTTTGGGGTGCAGGGAATTGATTTCTCATAGCTGGATGAGAGAATCAACCTGGCTTACAAATTTACCAATCACAATTACTTTTTGGTCATTATTAAGGCTTGATATGCTTCTCAGAATCACAGGGCACATTCGAAAATGTGTTGTGAAATCAGTTAAATTGTTTTCAGTAACTCAAACATACTCCTACGTATCCTAAGACCCAACCGCCATCATTTGTGCCCCATATACTTAGATTGTAGGCTTGCTGTGTAGCATCTGGAAAGTGGAATGTTCAGGACATGCCACTTCCTTCTGGCAATGTATATGGTGAGCAGATGGGTTCTGGGGTGACTGCCTTCGTGTTTGTCTGGTTTGAAGGTTTCTATCCTGTGTGGTCTTCCTGGTAGCATTTCCACACAAAGCATCAGCACCAATATTTGTTTCTCTAGCTCCTCACAGAAGCCCACATGGAGATAAACCATCCTTAGAAGTTTCAACATTCACTAAATTGAAACTAAACCTACAGAATGTTTACTGCCAGCAGGACACATTTAAAGGCACGATTACTGAGAGCCTGTTTCCAGCATGTCATGCGTATATTGTGCAGCTCCCCCAGTGTCTCTGAGAAACTTGTTGACACAGTTTGCATCTAGTTTCCCCAGGGCCGCCTCCCCGTCATCAGAACCC